AAGCTCCTAACTAAATTATTACAATCTTCAGTTTATTGGCTACGACTCCTAACTGAGCATCATCGGTGTTTATAATTTTGCACTGTCTCTGGAAGTCAGCATTGCATTTACAAATGATTATTTTTAAAGTATCTAATTGTCAAGATGAAAAAGAGTGTACATTTTTCTTAAGAGTACGGCTTTGGAAAATATAATGTCATGTGAAATTAAGTTGAAAAAAAATATTGAGTAAACTAGATGATTTACTACAGTTTATACAGAATCTTGAAATTTAGGGTTAACTATAATGTACAAATTTAAAATAATCTACAATGATTTATATTCTATCCTCTGCCATTTACACAAAACTAAGATGAGGTACAAAAATTAAGCAATATTTTGAGTTTCCCTGAGAATGCCAAATAACTGGTCTGAGTTTTCTCTAACTAAATTGACTATGAAGCCAAGTTTACAGCAGATTTTTGGCTATAGAAACACAAAAAGCTTATCAATAAATGAGGCAACAAATAAGTTATTGTCTATATTGGGAATTAAGACATTATACTTTAAAAATCTGAAAAAAAAAAGCGTAACATTGACTCAAAAATGACAAAGATTTCCTGTCAACTTTTGAGGAAAGTTATAATTTGATCAAAAAGATATTTAGAAACAGGGTAATACAACAAAAGTTTTTAAATGTTCACCTTCAATTTATTTCATAGGTCACTGTTATACCATCTAATAAGATAATTAAAAACATGCAAGCAGCTGGTACTACAGCTAAACAGATTAATGTAATAGTCTGTAGTCATATGTGCTGGCAAGGGGCTTGCCTCTTTTGGCGAGGAGAAGGTCAGCTGCCCTTGGGAAGAGGAGAAGAGGAGTGGCCTGTGCTACAGTCACTAAGTTAAACATCAGCAAACTGATAATCAGGAAACGACTTTTCTTCTTTCATACCCATTAATGTTCTTCTCTCAGTTTTAATGGTTAAATAAGGAACAGAGAAAGCTCATATAATTTGGCAGACAACATTAACATTGGTCTTTAAAAAGTACAAGATATATTTCACAAAACCAACAATGTCTTCTCAAGTCTTATAAACTTTCCATTTTAACGCATCATCTGCAAATTAGTTCAGAGATACACAATCAAATTTTAACCAAAATTTCCAAAACAATATCTGGACTATTACTCAAGCATCATATAATAATTGTACTGGTGCCCTAGGAGTTAAATGCAGCTGTACTCTATCTGAATCCATGAAGCAAGATCAAAAGAAGATATAAATCCAAAGTAAACATCCCAGTTTATTTAAAAAAAAAAAAATCTATGAGTATTAGGCACATAAAGCTGTAGTTACGGTCCATTCATTTTAAATTTTAAAATTTATTTGTCAAAGTTCCAGATATCATCTCTGAATTTATAGTAAAATATCCTCCTTTTATCTTTACTAGGTATTCAAATTTGTTATTCAAAGGTAACCTGAAATATGTGTCAGAGATTGAGAGTGTCAAATCTCAGGTTAAGCTTGTTCTTAAGCACTCTTTCTGCTAACAGACAAAAAATTTATTTTCTTGTAAAACATATTTTTTCTCTTCCTTTTGGTATATTAGATCACTGTAACAATTTCTATAATACCAAAAGGTTAGTGATGACAATGATGATGACATTGTCTGGAACAAAAAAAGTAAGTAATATTTATTCAACATTTACCATATGCCATTATCTGATTAAACTCCTCATATCAACTGTATTTTATCATCTCCACTTCAAAGGTGAAGAAACTGAGGGTGAGACTTGTCCAAAGTATTCAGAGTATTTACAATCAGGATCTGAACCAGCACACTATGTTTAAACATTGTTTTAAAAAACAGACCAGGTGCAGTGGCTCACACCTATAATCCCAACACTTTGGGAGACCAAGGCAGGCAGATTTCTTGAGCCCAGGAGTTTGAGACCACCCTGGGCAACATGATGAAACCCCATCTCTACAAAAAACACAAAAATTACCCAGGTGTGGTGGCACACACCTGTAGTCCCAGCTACTCAGGAGGCTGAGAGGTGGGAGGATTGCTTGAGGCCAGGTGGTTGAGGCTGTAGTGAGCCAAGGTAGTGCCACTGTACTCCAGCCTGGGTGACAGAGTGAGACCCTGTCTCAAAAAACAAACAAAGAAAACCTCCAGAGACTATGCCCTCTTGAAACTTATAATCTAATATCATAATAATGCAAACAGTGGAAAGAATATAAATTTCAGTGTCCAATTCAAGACTGAATTCAAGTTATTAAAATCTCAACGTATGTTAAAGGATACATGTGTCTGATGGTGAATACAGGAAACAAAGTTACCCATTTACATGAAGTGAGCACGAAAGAATTAATACTATGACTTCCCATTTAGATTTTCAAAAGGCCTTTATTTTATACGTTTTAACCCGAGTTTTTAAAACAGTTGTGGGAAGGAAACAGGTTAGGCATTATAATGCCCATTTGATAGACAAGAAACTAAAGTAAATCTTTGACACAAGTATATATAAACTATGAGTATGTTGGTGATAGGTTTAAGGCCTGTGTTGTCTAACTGTGAAGAAAGGCTAGGATTTCAGAGGCGGTTTAAATAATACAAACGTAGAACTGTCATGCAAAAGGACATCTGAGGGTTGCAACATTTACGTTTTTCTAATAACCTATTTCTAGTTAGCTTAAAGAGCTATAATGGCAACAAAAAATAATTTTTGTTTTCAAAAGTAAATTTTACTGAAAATTCTATTGCCATTTTAATGTGATTCTGCAACAATTCCTAGATTTTGTCAGTTAACCTTAATTGAAGCTATACCACAGAGCTGTGCTTCTATGAATTCTACACTTAACCCAAGTGTCAAATCCACAAGTAAGCTCATTATAAGAGCTATCACCTACTGAGTAGAAAAATATTCATTTCATACCTTAAATACTATAACAGTATTTAACAGTGGCACTGGTCTGCCAACTATTAAAAGCACATTTTTACAGACTGTATTACTTCAGCTTTTTATCTTCCCTTTTTAATTACAACAATAAATTAATATTCTAACATTACAACATTGATTTTTAATCAATGTCTGTCATTTTTAAACAATGACAGACATTGATTAAAAATATTTAGTTAACAACATTAGTATTTATTGTGCAAAGCTACACTAGGAGTTACTTTTCAAAATACAATTATCATTTAATAATACTAAGATACTTTATTCAAGAACAAAAAAACACCCAAGATAATATTATACCTTCACTTAATATAAAGTTAAGAGAAATGTTTTCATTTCTCTTATGAAATGAATGAAATGAAAACATTTCTCTTAACTTTATATTATATCCACTATTTACTATAATTGGCTAAAATACAAATGTAATTGTAAAATATAATTCAACAACAGAATTTATACACATATAATGGGATTTTCCTTTTTTTGAAATACATTAGTTTTTCTTTTTGTCTCGTTTATGTTTAATTGTATTTATACCTAATAAATTATCATCATAGATTTCATATATTACCATCTTAAGATTCCTCTGTTACATGTCAAATCCTAATATTTATTTAACTATCTTTCACATTTACTTTTTTGGTTATTGTTACAATCAGCTGTCACACACTCAAATAGGAGATTCTACCTATTGTTTAGTATGTCAAATACAAGCTTTATATTATGCTTCAGGACTCAGAAAGCATTTGGACAATTCCAATATTTATAAGGTAGGATGGATATAGTGAAAATTTAACAACAACATATGAGTTTTACTGCTGTGATAATACCCTTCTAGAACACCATGGAAAATAAGCCTTTTGTGGTATCTGTGACACTTGAACAACTGATCATTTATACAGACCCCAACTAGCATAAAATAAAGATATCAAGTGTTTCAATTACCATCTCATTTCTGAAATTCATAAACAAATTGTAAAAACTTGTTTCATTTACTACATTTTTGTCTAGTTCCTCCTGTATAAAAGGTCCGATTCTAGATGTTAAAAGCCTGCCTGAAATCTGAAGAAATAAATGACACAGTTCCAATTAAGACTATAAAATATGTATACAAATAAAAATATAAGCATAAGTTCCATATTTATTATAGATAAGGAGACACAGTTTAATATTCAAATTAGTTTTCAAATATACAGTGGCTCTTGCATATATTTTATAGTTTTGTTACACAAGTATCAGAAGTAATTAACCATAAGGACAATGTTGGCCAATTAAATTGTTTCTTCAAGAATCTGCATTGCCATCTATAATGTTAAAATGTATCATTATTGAATTTGCACTTTTTTCCTAAAAGAAAATAACCAATTTCTTACACCACTTTGGCTCTGTATATAAATTTTCAAGTATTACTGAAAATACTTTAATCTTTCTTGTTCTTCAGTTTCCAGATATAAGGTACAAATTTCATAAACATTTACTGTTTATGAAAGTAAAATTCAAGTCATGAGGAGAATATAAAGAAAGGATTAGGTAAAATACATATTTTCTTAGTGTATCCTTTTAAAAATATTACTAATTCAGAAGTAATAGCCCTGTTTACTGAAGAACTTAAACAGAATATTAGCAAACAGCACTTAATTCAACCATGAACTACATTTTAAGCTCTCTTAGGCGCTCATGAGCGGTACTATATTTTAGCAGGAAAATTAAAAGGAAGCTTTAGTAATGTAACAGATATACTGGAAAAACAAAAATGGATTATAATGAAGCTGAATACTACATGTGCATACGTTCCAATTACCCTACTATTGGCTAACAACAGATACTGCAGTAAGTGCATTTACTCAAAAATTTAGAATATTATATTTTTCTGTAACTTATTAATTGCAGAAAATAACATTAACACAATATTGTTCACATTGGTCACCTTGTTAAAGCACAAATAGTGTTTCCTTACTATTCTAGATCAAAACCCTATATAATTATATATCTTATACATTATCTTGTAATATTATATGTGTATGTGTATATATATACATGTATTCATCACCTACCTATAGGAATTAAAAGTCCCTTCAGAGTCTAAAGTAGAACTTGTTCTTCTTCCATTTTTATTTGAATCTCCTGGAGAAAAAAATTACAACACTGAAATAATGGAGATAAACTGAGTATTTCAGTTGAAAAACTGTGTGAAAGCTAAATGCAACATATTAGCCAAAAAGCATATATCCTCTCCCCCTTCCCCAAATTATCTTTTGTACTCAAAGCTTTTTAGGTAAAAAATTCATTTTGATTTCAAAATATAAACCAATGCCAATCCTAGACTGGATAGTAACAGTACCAAAGTAAGTGTTATCAGGAACAAATGAAGCACAGTACCAACATTTTCTTCTTATGAATCACAGACAAAACTAAAATTATAAACCAGTATAAAGAAAGGCAATTTTTTGTTGGTGACCAAGTCACCCATCCTGATCAGTGGTACTGTCAAAAGAGAGCAGGCAGAGAGCCAACCTGGATGATTTTCCAGGTCCTTGTTTGACACTCTCTAGCAATTTAGTAAACAGAGGTAAAATAAAAAGCCAACTTGAGAGGTAGTGATTAATTAATGAGCTTTTAATATGCCTTACTTAATATTCTTTACAAAACTTTAACTGTTAACTTTAGGTTTCAACTGTCAAAAGTTTGGCAATTTAAAACATGAAAAAGGAACAACATCAAAAGGTATTTGTCTTCTATAATAATATCAAACATTGAGAGAAAAAATTTTTACCCAAAAATCTGTCATATTCATAAAATCAAATTTAGAACAAATTATACATATCAATTTAAAGACTATAGAATAAAAGTAAATGAACTAAAGTTGGAAAAAATGCTTACCAATGCCCCAATGTTATATATTCTTATTGACTGAAATTTAATGGTTCAATTTTTTAAAATATACACTTCAAAGTACAGCTTTTATGAAACTATAGTATGCCACTATTAAAAATGTTATTTGTTTTTCAAAACAAATTAAAAGTTTAGAATACGATTATATTTTATACTCCTAATTCATATAATGTAACTTTGAAACATCAGGTCATATTCCATTTTTATAATATTTACAGCATAATATAACAATGGTTTATCCAATTTTATACTTTTAATATACTTTGAACAACTGAAGGTGCAACAGGAAATCATCACAGTGGTCATGGATAAGTCAAACAGTAATTACAGAGTTTTCACTTTAAAGATGAGATTATTTTTAATTATTGAGTACAGTATCTAAGGTACTATACTTATATAATTATGCTACTCATTAAATGGTTACTGAACGCTGAAATGTAATTTTAATGATAGCTACCTATCTTTCTTTACACATTTTATAGTTGACAGATAGTAAAGAACACTGGTTCTTTTTTGAGAGTTTGGTGAGATATGTGCAGCTGTGCCAGCATTCAGGAGAAGCGGACTGAGCCCGCTTATTAAACTTTCAACTCTACTCTTTTTTCGAAATACTGTTCCAGTTTATTTTGTTTTTTGAAAAAACAAAAAATCCTAAAAAGGATTACAACACTTAAAAATGGTGACAATTTATAGAAGAAAATAATCCAAAAACATATAAATGTTTAAAATTAACCTAGCTAGGTATATGTTGCTAATTCTTTGAAAACATGGGTATGGTAATATTACTCATACAACACCCTTCCTTTTCTTTTAAAAATTAATAATATTATAATAAACTAAAAAGATGTAAGGAAAATTAGTCTCTATCTTGCTAAATGAAAATTTCTACAACACATGTTATTTAACAGCTTGCAGACATCTCCTGTGAAACATTCCATAATCAGCATAGAATAAGTACTATATTACACATTTAAAATATGAGCTTCTTTCTCCTTAAAATTAAGATTATGATTAAACATGAAAAATAACACCAATAGAATAGTTCTTCCTTTAAGCTGATGTTTATCAGATCAAATATAAAATCCTTCAAATAATTAAGAGACTTTTGGCTTCATAAACAACCAGGTTTTATCACATTATAAAGGTTTTCTATAATTTATAACTGTTTCCGAAAGAAAATATCACATTAAATATAACTTTCAAGGTGCAAAAAAATGGTAATGGGGGAAAAAAAGCAGTTTTTCTTTCTCAAAAACATACCAAATAAGGAGTACAATTGTTTCACTAACAATATTAGAGAAAAGATTTCAGAGTTGGCTATATGAGGAAAAGGCAATAAAGTTTTGAAGCAGGAAAAACGCTTTGTTCCCTCAATCCTCTAGTTGAAATTAATTATAGCAAATGTTTATGAAAACATCTGTTCCTTACAGTTATAAATTCTTAATTTTAGTATGGACGATCTCAGACTCTTATTTTGGAAGGAAACTGTCTGACTATCGAAAGGTTTACAAAAGAACAGACAGAATCTATAATTCTGTAAAATTGTATATACAATGTGCTACATCCTGTAGAGATTTTACTTGGTGTGAAACATTTGGAGAGGCTTACTACCGGTAACTAGGAGAAATCAAAGACAAACAGAAAGGCTCATTTTTCATTTAAGCTATAATATGATAAAAAACATATCTGTAACACCAGAAAACAACTTCTGCCAGTTTGGGAAATAAACAAGTGTTACTTTACTACTGAATCTAATTTGGAAGTAAGTATAATAAAATAAGTATTAATTTTATAAGAGATTAAAGTAAATGAAATGACAATACAATCATGGGAACGTATATGTAGCATTTCCCAAAAATAACAAGAGAGGGTGCAAGAGAGTTTACTATGATGTTTTTACTTGCTATTCTGATTCCTGAACTAAGTTGTCAGGTAGCCATAACTGTAACAAAGATGCATCATACACACACACACACACACACACAAATACAGTATTAATGTAATCTTACACAAAGACTATTAAATGGTCAAATAGCACAAATATCTAAAATGTGCTTCAAGATAATAGACTTCCTTTTACTTACCTGAAAAGTAATTTAACTAATAAGCAACTTTTAGAATACAGTTGTAACTTTAAAGATATTTCAGTATCTAATGTAATCAGTAAAAGAATCTAGATGTCTTTATTGAGTATATTTTGAATACATGCACGAATTATATATAATAAATAACACGTGTTACTATATATTTAAAACATTGTACAACATATATCTATAAGAACAATTCATCAATTACTTGTGACCATAAATTTGAAATTTATACAACATTCATTTCTCATTAATTGGTATGCAACTTTCCTAATGGGTTCATAATATTCACAATTAAAATAAATTGCTGATTTGCAAAAATATGCTGACAGTTACATTGGTTTAAATTATAAGAAAGTGCATAATATTGCCTAATATTTCTAACATGTGTATCTAACTTATGAAGCCAGGAAGTATAACTGTGACTTAAATTTCAAAACAGAATGAATGGAATTTCAGACTCCCTTTTGGCTTTAACTGAGGTCATGTTTAGCAAAGGGCATTTTTGGTTCCATCTGTACACTGTTGAAATCTTTCTAAAGGGAGGTTTACAATAGATTTCTGTAGTATTTTTTAATACACAAACATCTAGTTCATGAAGAGAGAACCAGAGATTTTTAAACTAGGTTAAGTTAAAAACAGCCAGAATAACACTATAAATAATCACGCCTACTCAAATGTGTCTTCAGTTTACATGTGAAAACATCAAATTTTAGAATATCACATCACACTAGGTATGAATTCTGAAAAGTATTACATAATAAAGAAAAGGTTTTATCTTTGAATCATTAGAGAACTGTCAGCATACACAGTCTGGGGTATTTAATAGTAAAATGGGAAAAAAGACTTGGTTCAAAATGAAAACAAAGCTATGAGTTTACTGTAAAGACCTGAAAGCCTTTGTGTCTTTTAAAGGAATTAGTATATAGCAATGAAATGTTTTAGTTAAATTTAAAATCCTTTAAAAAAATAAATGATTTTTTTAAATCTATGAATAAAGTATATTCATGTATTGGCACACAGTGAAAGCAAAGCATAATGACTCAGCATTATCCATAAAGTAGCCACATCATTTGTGAAATCAGGCAAACCATTAGCCACCCCAAGCTAACTATTTATGCTAAAAATCCAGGACCACTCATTAGATCTATGAGCCAGTGCTGAAATCAATACGGAAAAAAATTCATGAATTTTATAATTTTCAGTTTTCTTTATTATTGTTAATGTATTTACATTCTAATGATTTAATAGCCATATTTAGTTCTCTAAAGAATGTCTTAAAATAAGTATTGTAGATAATGAAAACTCAGATGTAAAATAAAAATTCATAAGAAGTCTTAAATAAAATACATTTTCAAGTGGACCATTTTGAGAAAAGGATGTTTTGTTATCAAAGGTTCCTATTAAACCTTTAATAGAATTCTTAAAAACAAAAGACAGAAAGCAGCATGACATCAGCAAGATGGCAGAGTTTGAAACTCCAAGTAGTACATGTCCTCCTACAGAAACACTGAAAAACAAAAAGTAACTCTTAGGACTTTGTAAAAGCTGTAATCAACAGTCAAACATTTTCCAAAGCAAAATGAACACTGAATCCGTAGTCCCAGCTACTCGGGAGGCTGAGGCAGGAGAATTGCTTGAACCCAGGGAGGTGGAGCTTGCAGTGAGCTGAGATCTGGCCACTGCACTCCAGCCTGGTCGACAGAGCGAGACTCCGTCTCAACAAAAGAAAAAAAAAAAATTCTGTGCTTTTTACACTTGCCATTGCCCCACCCCCTCCCTGGCACTGTAGCAGTGTGAAAGCGGGTAGCTACTTTCCCAGGGTGGGAGTCTGGTACTTGGTTCTCGAAGGGAAGAGGGGACCATGTTTACAAATTGTTGTGTATGTATGTTCTACCCTGTGTAAGGGCCGCCTGAAAGATGACATGAGGTGCCTTTCTCTGTTCAGGCTAACTTAGAAGAAGCAGAGGACATCAATAGAATACACAACAAGCCAAACTAAAAACCCAATATATAGTCCATTCTCACGTTGCTATAAAGCACAGCCTGAGACTGGGTAACTTATAAAGGAATGAAGTTTAATTGACTCGCAGTGCCACATGGCTGGGAAGGCCTCAGGAAACTTACAATCATAGCAAAACGGGA